GTTGTTCGCGCCTCGCTGGAATAGCTCTTCCAGTTAATTGGGCAAACGGAACTTTTTATAACAAATTTTTAAACCAAATCATATCTTGAAAACTGTTTATAGGAAAACCAGGAATAAAGTGAACTGTTCATGTGGAAGTCCTTAAATTACATTATTACAGTAGAAAATACAGAGGTAGAAGATAACTGAAAAGACTAATGCACATTAGATTCAAATCTATAGCTCCTGTAGCCTACTTACAAACATGGGTTTAGAAACTAAACCCAACATTTCCAGCAACCATAGAACAGTTAAAATAAAATTTGCATGAAAGCCCTTATATCATGCTTGATACAGGGAGGTAGGAAGATGTAAGAACCAGGGACACATGAGACATGACATTTATCTACAACTCCTGTTGCTTTACTGAGGGTGTAGTTTCAACAATTCACGTCACCTTCTTCAGTTTCAGATTCAGATTCTAGAAATAGGGGAAAAAAAGCAAACATTATATATCAGAAAGCAAAGTACCCATTTATAACTTCAAAATTTTTAAGATAAGTCTCCCTCCTTCCCCACAGGTAACAGTGCAGTCGGTACCCTCTTGGCTCACTGCAACCTCTGCCTCCAGGGTTCCAGTGATCCTCCACTTCAGCTTCTCGAGTAGCTGGGACTACAGGCGCCACACCACAAACTGGCTAATTTTAAATTTAGTAGAGACAAGGGTTTCCCATGTTGGCCAGGCTGGCCTTCAAACTCCCTGCCTTCAAGTGACCTGAACACCTCAGCCTCCAAAATGCTAGGATTACAGGTGTGAGACACCCACACCCAGCCTCCATATAACTTTGAAGCTGTAAGGAATTTATTAATACCCTATTTAGATGAGGGAGCATATTCAAAGCATTCAAAAAAAAAAAAAAAAAAAAAAAAAAAAAGTTAACATGCAAGCAATGGTCCACACACTCAAGATTCATGTTAAATGAATTCGATTATTACATATGGGGTTTTCATTGATGAGTAGGGCTCTGGGCATGCCATATTATCACACAAATCATTGCCTTTTGAGACTTTGGATACTTTTCCAGTTTAATTTGCAAACAGAATTTTTATAACAAATTATTTTTTAACCAAATCATATCTTGAAAACTGTTTATAGAAAACCCAGGGAATAAAGTGAACTGTTCATTGTGGAAGTCCTTAAATTACATTATTACAGTAGAAAATACAGGAGGTAGAAGATAACTGAAAAGACTAATGCAACATTAGATTCAAATCTATAGCTCCTGTAGCTACTTAAAACATGGTTTTAGAAACTAAACCCAACATTTCCAGCAACCATAGAAACAGTTAAAATAAAATTTGCCATGAAAGCCCTTATATCATGCTTGATACAGGGAGGTAGGAAGATGTAAGAACCAGGACACATGAGACATGACATTTTATCTACAACTCCTGTTTGCTTTACTGAGGGTGTAGTTTCAAAATTCAGTCACCTTCTTCAGTTTCAGATTCAGATTCTAGAATAGGGGAAAAAAGCAAACATTATATATCAGAAAGCAAAGTACCCATTTATAACTTCAAAGATTTTTTAAGATACAGTCTCCCTCCTTCCCACAGGTAACAGTGCAGTGGTACCCTCTTGGCTCACTGCAACCTCTGCCTCCAGGGTTCCAGTGATCCTCCCACTTCAGCTTCTCGAGTAGCTGGGACTACAGGCGCCCACCACCAAAACTGGCTAATTTTTAAATTTTTAGTAGAGACAGGGTTTCCCATGTTGGCCAGGCTGGCCTCAAACTCCTGCCTTCAAGTGACCTGAACACCTCAGCCTCCCAAAATGCTAGGATTACAGGTGTGAGACACCACACCCAGCCTCCATATAACTTTGAAGCTGTTAAGGAATTTTATTAATACCCTATTTAGATGAGGGAGATATTCAAAAGCATTCACTTGGAAATCCCAAAATCTGGCTGGGTGCAGTAACATCTGTGATCCCTGCACTTTGTGAGGCTGAGGCAGGAGGGCTGCTTGAGCCCACGAGTTCAAGACCAGCCTCGGCAACATAGTGAGACCCTGTCTCTATATTTTTAATTACAGAAAAGTAAAAAAAAGAAATCCACAAATTTATAAACATTAAATATTCTCAAAAATTTCCATTTCACCAAAAACATTTACTATTATGGCTGAGCCATAAATATACTGTAATAATTAAACTCTAGCTTTTGCCACCTGCCTTATAAGTTAACAAAAATCTCTACTCCAGGTACAAAGTGGCATTAGAAAGAAGGAAGCACGTGTGAAGATATATTATGGCCACATTAAAATTAGCATTATCAAACAAAGGAAAATCCTTACCTTCTTCTGCATTTTTGAGCCATTCTACAAACTTTTTCATTTGCTCAAGGAAAACACTCTTCCCCTTCGCAACATGTGCATCTTTATACCACTTCAAAATGGGCTCTTCACTCAGGACTTCAGCTGGAAAGAAAACTCACTGCATTAGGGGAGTTTTAATATACTCTACTCAGACAGAGTTAGAACAATCACCTAATGTGCAAATGCCTGCTTAGCAAACAAACTGCTGAAAAGTTAAAAACATCCATGAGAACTGGAGGATAGAATAATGCATGTGTGCACACCAACTACACTCCATAGAATCAAGGCTGGTCTGATTAGTGCAGAATTTCAAAGTGTTATGACCAACTGCAATGGATTTTCTCCCAACAGAGGTCTCGTCTTTACTAACCACTAGACCAGGTTTCTAAAATTGGGATCAAGAGAAAAGGGAACGATAACTGAAATTGGGGTTGCTATAGAAGCACTCTGAACTGGTCTTGAAGGACTACTGAAAGTCAACACTGGGTGGGAGGGTAAGATAAACAGAAGCAGGATACACACAGGCTGAAAACTCCAGAGCTATGACTATATAGAGCTAAGACTAGAGGACCCGGTTTTTGTTTTTTTTTGGAAACAGGGTCTCACTTGTTCCCCAGGCTGCTGGAGTGCAGTGGCACAATCTTGGTTCACTGCAGCTTTGACCTCCTAGGCTCCAGCGATCCTCCTACCTCAGCCTTCTGAGTTGCTGGGACTACAGGCTTGCGCCACCATTGCCTGGCTAATTTTCTAATAGAGACGAGGTCTCCTTATGTAGTCCAGGCCGGTCTTGAACTCCTGGGCTCAAGCGATCCTCCTGCCTCAGGCTCCCAAAGTGTTAGGATCACAAGTGTGAGCCATCGAATCTAGCTGAACTTTGGGGAACGTACAGCTGGTTAGAGTATGAGGCAAAGTTTGAGGACGCATAATGATGGCTTTGGATTTCATACTTTAACTTGTGAATAGGGTTTAGATGTTTTAAACAAATACCAGTGCACTAAAAAGCACCCAATTTAATCAGGGGCGACTCATAACTAGAAGTAAAATATTTCAGGCAGCTGATGTCCAGATAACTCATCATTTGGATCATTTTGTATTTACAAGGATTTTTATTAAATGTTACTTACAAAATTCAAAATCTAAATTACCTTTATAAAAAAGCACCACTATTTTCTGGAAGGCTTTCATGAAATGAATGTTGTCATAGCAATACTCCTGAATCTTCAGTAACAGAGTCAGCTCAGACTGACCTTGAGTAGTAAAGGCAGCAAGTAGAGGGCTGTATTGCTGTTAAAGGAAGGGAGAGAAGATTCAGTCATTAATTACAAATAACCGTCCATTACAAAACTCCTACAATACAGACAATACAGAACTTAACTCATCTTTTATAATCACTGCAAACTATAGCTCATTTACCAGAAATTTTAAAAAGACGTGAGCCGCAGTGGCTTACGTCTGTAATCCCAACACTTTGGGAGGCCAAGGAGGTGGATCACTTGAGGTCAGGAGTTTGACAGCAGCCTGGCCAACATGGTAAAACCTTGTCTCTACTAAAAATACAAAAATTAGCCAGGCACTACTTGGGAGGCTGAGGAGGCAGAACCGCTTGAACCCAGGAGATGGAGACTGCAGTGAGCTGAGATCACATCACTGCACTCCAGCCTGGGTGACAGAGTGAGACTGTCAAAAAAAAAAAAAACCCAAAAAAACCCAAAAAAACCAGAAAATTGACTTAAGTAGCTAAGTAAAATAAACAATACTATACCAAGTAGTCCAAGTAAATGTCAAACAATATTAGTATTTTCCAATACCTGCTTCAAAAGCAAACGTCTAATTACAGGCTTAAGTTCCTTTTCATCATGTTTTTTTTTTGAGGCAGGATCTCGCCCTGTCACCCAGGCTCTGTCTGACAAAACCATCGTAAGCTCACTGCAGTCTTGATCTTAAGGGCTCAAGCGATCCTCTGCCTCAGCCTCCTAAGTAGCTGGAACTACAGGCATGTGCCACTATGACTGGCTTTTTGTGATTTTTAGTACAGATGAGGTCTCACTATGTTGCCAGGCAGGTCTTAAACTGAGCTCAAGCAATCCTCCCGCGCTGGCTTCCCAAAGTGCTGGTTTTACAGGTGTGAGCCATTATGCCTGGCCAGGCCATATTCTTGTTTTTAATCTGTGAACCACAGACCAATTCAGAGGATTATCCTCAATAGTTAATGTTACTATTTGTCTATTTACTGGTGGGCCATCCCCAGGAACCACAGGATGCAATAAATCCTCTTTAAAAAGTATAGTCACAGTTCACTGATCCCCATGTAAAAGCAGAATAGTTTGTTTTGTTAAGGCATGGTTCTAATACCTTCAAGTGCTTGATGGCTTGCTCTGCTACAAGCTCCTCTTTTTTGTTCCATTCCACAGTGCTCATTACACTTGACCAGACTATTCCGATGACAACTGGTTCTGGGATGTTGTTTTTTTTCATCTCCTCCTTGACATATAAAATTATCTGCAAAATAATCCAAATTTAGTAACAGAAGTCAGTTTTGATTATGTACATACTTCACACATCAAGTTTAGACCTTTAAGAAAAACCTAACAACTCCTTTTCCATGCAACTGGCAACCACACGTGTACCACATAGAAAGAGACCTTTAGAACTGAAAGATGCCCTGAGCTCCAGTCCCTTACATTTCTGGGCCTCAGTCAGGCACTAAAGAAGCATATGCAAAAGACTGAGGCAAAGTTCCAGTATAACATCCTTACTATTAACTCAATCTCATCCTAGTGAAATAAGTTCCTCAAATTAGTGAAAATCTCTATGCTAGAAGCTTAGCCATAAAAAGACAGTTTAAACAAAAACTTACATCCTTAAATGGATCACCACGGGACATCTGTTCTTGAAGTTCTTTCTGGAGCTCCTTACGAGCTCCAATGGTTTGCTGATTCCGAACATATTCTGAAAGCTCTTTCAAGCCTGCCTCAGTAAAATACTTTGTAAAGTGTTCAACACTTTGCTTATTGGCAGGAAAGAGTTCCTAAAAGAAGAATTTATCTGGTTAAACTTTCTTTAAATCAGATTTAACACTTTCTTTTCAGTCTTAAAATGAGAAATTTCTCTCATTTACACCTGCTGGCAAGAATGGGAAGAAAAGTTACAAACCATCAGTCTGTTATCCATGCTGACTTTCCGAAGACTTGCAGCTACTGCATTGATATCTTTTTCGTTTATCCATGATTTAAAGAGCTTTACAGCAAAAGCTGCTGAAACTCCTGTAAAAGAAAATAGCTTAACACAGAAGTACCTTCCTGGTTTCAATCACTGTATCCCCCTCTATATCCTTCCCTTCATAGTTCAATCACATGGGATTACGGACTTTCCTCACAAACTTAACCCTGAACTTTCCTGGGCCACAATTTATCACTTCTCCAATTTCCCTAGTCTACACCATTTGCGAATTGTATATTCTTGGCCAAGTTACTTAAAGTGTTTTCTAAAGTATAAATTGAGGGCAATAGTCTCTACACTTGACAAGGCTGTTGTGAGAATTACACTAAGGCAACTTAAATACTACTGTAAGCAGTTTTTTAAAAAAAGCTTCAAAAAAAAAATTACTGTACAGAATAATCTGACAATTGGAGCCAAAAAGGGAGTTGATTTTCCCTTCCAGCTTGACATTTTCCCCAACATCATTTTCTCCAAGTCTCCCTATTGGTATTAATCTCTTCTGGGGTTCCCACAGCATTTCTCATTGTATTTGCATTACATATAACATTTTGTCTAAATCTGGTTATCTATTGTATTCCTAAAGAAAACCATTAAACCTGGATGCCAAAGGTATTCATTAAATGTCTAGTGAATTAGACTGAACTTATTAAATTTAAGGCTGGTTAATAAACGAAGACTTTCACAGAAGTCAAATCTATGAACAGTAAACTATGCTCTTACCCACCCCACTCTGAGTCAACTAAAGACCATCCTTTAAGGTTGATTACCTTCTTTAACCAAATTCTCATTATAAAGGCTATTAAGAATGGACGCATTAAGTGTTCCATTAGCCAGAAGAACACCAGTCAACATAGCCAGCTTGTTCCTCTCCGACTCTGAAAAACCCTTTAAGAACAGCAGCAGCTGTAAAAAGTAAAACAGTTAAGGGTTAAAACAGCAATTACATTACATTAAGAGAAACAGTAAAGCATGTTATACTGGCTACTGGTTCAACACGTGGGCTCTGGGATCTAACCATCCAAGTTTACATCTAAGCTACAATACTCATTAGCTGAATGATCTTCGGCAAGTTACTCAACCTCTGCACCTCACATGTAAAATGTGGATAATAAAACTTGCCTCACAGGGTTTTTATAAACATTAAGTGAATTAGTATCGAACAGTGCCTGGTCATTGATAAACGCATCAGGTTTTCTGGGCATCTATATGCAATATTGGGCCAGGCGTGTTGGCTCATGCCGATAATCCCAGCACTTTGGGAGGCCGAGGGCAGATAACTTGAGGCCAGAAGTTCAAGGCGAGCCTAGCCAACACGGTGAAACCTTGTCTCTACTAAAAATAGAAAATTAGCCAGGCATGGTGGTACATGCCTGTAATCTCAGCTACTCAGGAGGCTAAGGAACGAGAATTGCTTGAACCCAGGAGGCGAAGGCTGCAGTGAGCAGAGACTGAGCCACTGCACTCCCAGCCTGGGAAACAGAGTGACACTCCAAAAAACCAACCAACCAAACAAACAAAATTACCCCAAATCTGTGGGAGAATTAGGATTTAACATTCCCTCCTTCTAACCCTATTCTTTTCTTTTCCACAAAGTACCTTATTCCTCATACCTTTTTTACTTCATCTTCAAAACCTTTCTCCAGGTATTTGTAGCGCCTGATTAACTTGTTAAAAACCTATGAAGAACATGAAATGAATTCAGTAACTTCATATATTTCTAGAATAGCAAAGTAGTAAACCTTTCACTGGATATAAGTTTATGAGCTGTTTATACCAGCTTGAGAAGAATTTCTAGTGACACATAAGAACGTCCAGGTTAGATGTACTTTAATTCTTTGCTTAAAATAATACAAACATAACTACATATGAAACTTTCCAATGAGATCTTGATTAAAAAGCTAATCAGCTCACAACTTATTTAACTTTAAAAATAAATATATGCAGATAAACTAGAGAAATCACAATACGAAAATGACTTTTTTAGCTTGACATTTTTCTTAAAAATTGAGTAATTTCAGGACAAATAGGAACAGGAGAGTTAATTTCATTTTTCCCTATTTTATTCACCTTAACACATCTTAAGTTTCTAATTCATCCCGTTGCACCAAGAACAGTCTCCCTAAAATTTAAAATCAAATTCCTTCAACTTTCTAACCACCACTCTTAAAAGTAGAATATTCCTCAAATATACCACATGGATAGTAGCTAACTGAAAACAATTATGTTAAGTTTCATTTACCTGAGCAAATGCTTGCATGGTCTCTAGGTCTTCTTGGGCTGCAAACACGCAGACATCTGTACGCATCATGTCATCTGCCAGTGTACCACCTGGGGCTAAAGTTGGATAAAACCAAAATACAACACAAGGAAAAAAATCACTCCATTTTAACAAGTTTGCCAAATAGTTCATATTCTAGAGTCTCCATAATCTCCATACACTATACCTTTCTAAATTATTAAGCCCACAAACCCCAGACACTTACCCAGCATTCCACCAGCCACCAGAATGTCAAAGAGTGTTTCTGCATATCGACGGTAATCAAGTTTTGCTCCAGAAGCATCAAGAAACTTAGCTACTGCTTCCAAATCAGTACCGGTTTCAGTTAAGCCTTGAATAATACAGTCTTGAAACTGAGTAGGGTCAAACCTCTCTTTTTCATCTGGGGAGACAGGGGACCCAAAACATTTAGTTTTAAAAGATTTACCAAAATATCACAAAACTATCACCTTATGAAGATGTAATTGTTAAACAAGTTAAATTCACATCCTTTACATGTTTCCCCTCTGCAAGTGTAAGACAAGATGGCCCACTCACAAGAACTGTGCAACTTTTCAAACAATTTCACAAGTGAGCTAAATGTGCTAGTGTCTTGTGCTCCTACTGCCATGAGGCAATTTCTACTGGGAATGCCCTCCTACTGCCTCTTGGCTTTTCCAAAATTTAGGCCATCCTCTAACAGATAAATTTTATTACTTTCAGTTTTCCCTGGACATTGGAGCTCTTGATCCTTTTCTTTAAAAGTTCGTAACATTAAACAACAAAAAAATTGAACCACTCCTTTGGCATTTATGAAGGTGAGCTTTACAAAGTACATTTAATGAGCACCCAACATGACAGAAACTATATTAAGCATTTGCTTTAATCCTGTTAACAACTTTGTGAGGCAGATTTTTCCTATTTTTCAGAAGGAAAACTGAGAGAGAAATTAGGTAATCGAGAGATGATACTGTGTTGTGTAGTAGTTCAGAGCATGGGCTCTGGAGTTAAACTGCCTGATTCAAATCCTGATCACCATTTAACCACTTGAATTCCAGCAAACAGTCTCATTCGCCATGCCAGAATCCCCCTACTGTAAAATGGGGATAAGAACAGCTATCCCATAAAGCTGTTGTGAATACTACATGACATTAATAAAACAGAAAGCTCCCAGACCATAGCCTTGTGCGCATACCTGACCTTTACTGAGTTGCTTTCACACACTCCATAATAGGGTTTTGCTTTCCCAATCTAGGCTAGATGGTATCTTAATTTTCACACAGTACTAGGGTGACAAATACCTCTGTGTGTCCAGCACTTTCCTGGTTTTAGCACTGAAAGTCTTGTGTCTGGAAACTCCCTCAGTCCTAGACAGGGATTGCTGTATACCCCACCCAGTACCCTAACCATCAACAGCCAGGCCACGAATGATCTCTATCTGGAACTGGGGAAGCGACATCTCCCCCTAATGCTAATAATAATAATAATGATAAAGCTACTTGCTATTATTTATATCAAGGCAACATCAGTAATCCACATATTCAAGAGATACACTTTCCCATTTTACTGTCAAACTGTTCTAGTTTACAACTGCTCCTTAAGAAAATTTACCAACTAAGGTCGGGCGTGGTGGCTCACACCTGTAATCCCAGCACTCTAGGAGCCCAAGGCGGGCGGATCATAAGGTCAGGAAATCGAGATCATCCTGGCTAACACAGTGAAACCCCGTCTCTACTAAAAAAAAAAAATACAAAAAACTAGCCGGATGTAGCGGCGGGCGCCTGCAGTACCAGCTATTCGCGAGGCTGAGGGAGGAGTGGCGTGAACCCGGGAGGCGAAGCTTGCAGTGAGCCGAGATCCCGCCACTGCACTCCAGCACTCTAGCCTGGGCGACAGAGGCAGACTCTGTCTCAAAAAAGAAAGAAAATTTACCAGCTAAATCTAAATGAATCTGCAAAGACTAGAATCAAATCACACTTTGGTCTCCCCACCACTACTACAAGGGGACAGACAGCCTATGATTAGCGATTTTAAAATTCTACAATATATATCTCAAAATGTCTGCTACTTAACACAACTTATAACCAGTAGCTGACCCAGTTCTTCATTTCCTCAAAACCACCTGTAAAATAAGGTTAATATGCTTTTGACCAAAAACATTAAAAATATACGAGACTACATCTTATTTAGCTTTATATCACTAGCACAGCACTTTGCTACAGAATTCAACATTCACCTAAGTACACACGAATGCAAAAAAAATAGTAATATAATTCTAATACTTTTCTAAGTCTGTATTTCAAAAGACATTACAATGTGAATCCTGTTCCACAATTAACTTCCAAGGGTGAAGTCTGAGTTTTCTCTCACAAATCTTCACAAAATCTGGGTGACTACATTAGGAGTTCTCCTTTTATAAATTAACATCTTTGCTCATTTTAGTTTGCTTAAATAAGACTGCTTGCTAGTGAAAACAGAGCCCTTATTTTTGTTTTAAAAAGTATTTTACCTTCACACTAAAAAGAAGATTCATTAACCGGCTTAGAGATACACTGATACTAAAAATTAAGGCTTGAGCAGTAAAGCAGTAGAAATACTAAAGGTGTATGTGAATAGCAGTCAACGAGAAATTCAAGTTTCTTTCTGGTATCTTCTCTTGAGGCTTTAGTACTATGCAAGTGCCTGTCAGAGGAGGCAAGATACACAAGATATTCTGGAGGTTTGAAGAGACATCGAAACATAAATATTTACCTCTTTTTCTAGTTTTAAAACGCTGGCCTGATAGCGTTGGCTTTTGCTGCTTTTGATTATTCATAAAAGACACCCTAGGAAAGGAGAAATAAAGCCTTAATTTCAGTGCCATAATACTAATTTTTAAAATAAAGCATCAAACCTTAGTATAATCACATATGAATCAAATGGAACACGCACTCTCAGCTTGGTGAAGGCACAAAGAATCACCCTCACTTGAATCAAATGTACGCCAAAATCTGCATTTCTCTCTACAAGAAACCCTTCAAATTAGTATTGCGAACTACACTTATAGGCGACATTGTAATGCTACAGTGATCACCCATCATAAACCTAATTGTTCAGTTTCCTCCACATTCCTCTTTACATTCACTTACATCTTCCACGACCACTAGGCATCGCAGAACGCAAAGGGAGATTACCACCATAGTCAGGAGGCATCCAAAATGTGTATGCCAATTCTAAAACACTGTCAAAAGGTGAACCCCTTCTTCTGATGGGCCTGGTTATAGGCAGCACCACCCTGCCCTAGGTCATGCCTGTGACCGCAACAGCGGCCGCCTTGCACCACTCAGGCCTGCAAAATTAACAGCCAGCCCAGCCTCCTTCGCCCATATCCCACAGTCCCAGCCTCCTCCCTGGGCACGTGTCTCCCAATCCGCACCCTTTCCATGCCTCCCGCCCAGGACCCCACTGGCCACAGCGGGGCGCCGTACGGTCCCGCGGCTCCTTCCCCACTGACCCTGCCGCCTGCGGTGGCGGCCGCCGCAACGAGTGGACCACAGGTACTGAGGCGCTTTGCGCCGGGGCCCCAGCCGCCCCGTACATCCGCCCGCCCTCCAGCGAAAGCAGCGGCGGAGGCGGCGGCCGCAGTGGTGGTGGCAGCCCCTCCGCCCCGCCCGCCGGAAGCCCCCACGCCTACATCACCCAACAGAGGCCACGGTGGCTTTGTTAGCCAGGCCACGCACGGCCCGGAGGGAGCCCGGCTCGGCCACTGCCTTCGCCACCAGCGCCGCGGCGCGCACCCGCACCCCACTTCCCGACCCGGGCCGCCGCCGCCCCTCGGCCTCCCTGCCGAAGCGGCGGCCTTTCAGGCCCTGGATCCGGCCCGGCCTCAAGTGGCGGCCTCCGTTCGGGCCCATCCAAGCCGGGCCGCATTCAGCCCGCCGCCTCCCTCGCCCTCTGCCCAGCCTCCACGGCCCGCAATGTCCGCCCGGGGTGAGCGGGGCGCCGCGTCTCACCGAATTTAAGGCGAAGAGGAAAGAGCCAGAAATCCCCGATGTAGCGGCAACTGCGGCGGTGTCTCCTCTGCGACCGGAACTAACGCCAGGAGGAGGAGGAGGGAGAGGTGCCACCCCCGCCCGGACCGCTGTCCTATCGCGAGATTTCTTCCCCTTGTTTCCCCCCACCCCGCCCCGCCCTCATCGTGGCCTGTCGCTTCCGTCTTTTCCATTCCGCGCGGATTAGGGTGAGGGACCGGGAGAGGGGAGGGGAGAGACGTTTCAAGGCTTCTTTATTCCCTTACTGGGTTCCACGTCTCCTGGACAGGTGTCCTAGACTAGCTTATTTTTCTTCCGCCGCTGCGTCGTCCGCCCTCCTAACACACGGAGGGGTTGGAAGAGCGGAGCCGGCCCCCACCGGTCTCGAAGTTGGACGCGTCCTCCTGGAGTCACTCCCCGCCGGCCCCCTCCTCCAGCGCCGGAAGTCGAAGCCCGAGGGCGGGGGCGCTCGGGTTGTGCGGGGGCGGAGGCCGGTGGCTGGCATGGGGGCGTGGCTTGGGGAAGGAAGTCACACCTCGCCTCCGCCCTGACCGGGATGGGCGGAGCTCGCTCCAGCTGAGTTGCCTGCGGGGCGAGTTTGCTTTGAGGGGCTGTCTCGTTGTTCACCGCCTCCTTTAGGAGTGAAGAGGACACAGGCCGAGGATTCAGAAGGGGAAATTCTGTCCTCCAACCGCGGTCCCCGCGCCCTGCAGCGGTTGTGTCCCGAGTGTGGTGGCTATGGGGACTTGGAGAGCATCAGAATCCCTTGGAGGGCTTGTTAGAACAGACTGCTGGGCCCCTCCCGTGGTTTCTCATTCTGTGGGCCTGGTGTGGAACCCATGAATGTGCATTTCCAACAAGTTCTCTGTGATGCTGCTGCTGGTCCACACCTTGAGAACCCCTCAGAACAGGCTATATCATCAGGGAGCTGGGGTACGATCAGATAAGATAGTGCGTGTGAAAAACACTGGAGGTGTGCAGATAGAGATGCACAGCGCCTCCAGGATGTAGCCCCATGTTTTTATTCACTGTACGGTAGTTTACTTCTCTCCAGTTGCTTCCTCACTGGTAGGAGGAGAGTGGCTTCTCTTCCCTAAACTTTTTGATAAAATAGTTTACTTCTTTTCCTTAATTAACTATATGACCTCTACCCCCACCCACCCCCCACAACTTCATGGAAAATTACTTTCTCAGCGCTCTTTCCTGAAATTATTGCCAAACCCAGTGATTCTTTCATTCTTCACCCTCTTTGCCTCCTCTGAGCATTGAGTGTTACGTCTCTCCTTGAATCCTGGCTCCAGCTATCCTGGTTACGCTCTGAATGTGGCTTCGCACGGTATTTACTGATCTTTTTTCTACTGACACCTTTTCTCTCTGCATACTTTCTTCCATGGCAGTCTTATACATTCTCAAGGATTTAACATTTACTCCACTTAAAAGAGTTCCAAGATCATCTACTGAATCATTAAGCAAATATTTGTTAAATCCAGGCTCTATGCCCTTCCAAGTTCAGGCAACAGCAGTGGGAAGGAGGCAGGAAACAAACTGATCTGTTGGAGGAACCTCAAGAAGCTGGTGTGACTGGGAGGGCAGTGGGGAGCAGAGGGAAGTGGCCGGAGTCGGATCTCTTAAGTGTCTAGCCCCATCCTTTCTCCCAAGGCTCCAGTCCACACTATCTGGCATCTTCACTTCATCGCTGGTTTAACACTATCAGTGCTGTCGATTGCTCTTCCCCGAGAACTGTATTTTTCACATCTGAAGTTCTGTTAAAGGACAACGTTTCACAAATAAAAATGATAACTAATATGCACCTGTATGTATCAGGCACTCTTCTAAGCACTTTATATAGTAACCCCATTTGATCCTGAAAACTACCCTATAATCTAGACACTATTATTAGTCCCATTTTACAGATGGAAAAAACCGAGGCATCGAGGTCTAGTAACTTGTCTAAGATCATAGAGCTAGTAAATGGAAGAGCTCCAGTTGAAGCCAGGCAGTCTAGCTTCACCATTATAATGCACTGCCTCACCACCAAGATCTTATTTATTCATTCAGCAAATATTTATTCAGCTAGAGACCAGTAGAGATAGTGACACGTCAGGCCTATGGCCTCACAAAGCTTATCTTCTATTTTTGCCACGTTTTAAAATTGCATCATCTTTCCCCAGTACCACCTTGATTTAGGCATCTATTACCCCTAACTTAATGGGACTTTTGCAATAACTTCCTAACTCTACCATCCCCTTTCTCAACATTGCCAGAACAATCTTCTCAACTGCAACCTGAATCATTTCTCTTCACTGTTTAAATGCCTCTGTTTATACCCAGGGATAGCTCTGACCAATGTTTTTTGCCTTTACTTCCCATCACATTTTTGGTTCTTAACCTGCTATTACCATCCATTGTGGGGTATGTAGCAAATGATTTTTGACTAAAAATGGTTATTAAAGTAAGCAGATTATTTTCTTTAACTTGTAAAGTGTATTAAAGGTTTTCCTGAACTCCTGGCCTCAAATAATCCTCCCACCTTGGCCTCCTAAAGTGTTGCGGTTACAGACCACGCCCTGCCACTTATCTTTTCTCTGCTTTTGGGTGCACCCATGGGAATAGGTACCGTGCAGCTAGCAGGGGAAATGTTGTTTGTAAATTGTATTATGGTAGAAAAAGTTTCCAAACAGTTGAACTTCATGCTTTGGTCAGACAGGACATGTCATGTCTTGACCTTTCTTGAGATGTCCTTCCCTCATTTTCCACTGTCAAAATCCTACTTATTGTTTCAAGCCTCATCTCAACTACTGCTTTTTTCCCTTAAGCCTTTCTTAGTCATGGATGTGAACCCATTCCTTCTTTGTAATTGGGACTGCAGGGATGAGCAACTGTGTCTGCTATTTTTTTTTTTTTTTTTTTGGTGATGATGGTGATGATAGGGTTTTGCTTTGTTGCCCAGGCTGGTCTCAAACTCCTGGCCTTACGTGAGCCTCCCGCCTCAGCCTCCCAAAGTGCTGAGATTGTAGGTATGAATCACCACGCCTAGCCTTGCCCAGTTTTATGGTGGTTTTGGGAAAAGGATATGCTGATCTCTTCACTCTGCCATTGCTGTGAATCCCCCTTAGTACTTTTGGGTTTTAAAATTTTGAACTACTTAAAAAGAAAGATGCTAAGTGCAACATGTGAATGTGATACTGCTTTTAACTTCATTGATGGAAACGGGTACCTAAGTGTTTCTTTTTCAAAAGCAAGCAACAATAGGTTTTTATTCCTAACGACTAGAAGAATGTCAAGGGCCTGTTTTGAAAAGCACATTGTTACCCTTGAAAAATGAGCTGGGGAAAGTATTTATTCCTATGCTTTGAGTCTTGTAGAAGCTTGCAGAACATCCTATGAACCTGGCTTAAATTGTAGCATATTTATATGAAATAGTTCTAGATACACACACCTATATATGTATGCATATATTTATGTATGTATGTGTGGCTGGAAGTATTTTCATAGGCGCCACAAAATTTTTACAATGAAAAAGCTTTGAGGTACAATGAGCTTTTAAATAATGTCATTTTAGATTTTAAAAAGTGTTAAATATCATTCACTTGCTACAAATCTCATATATACCATTTATTTTACTTGCTGCATAGAATGATTTTAATAGTTATAATTATTAATAATATTTGACATAATCAAGATGAAAATAAAAATAAGCACTGCTTAGTTACATTAACATTTTGGTAATATTTGATAAATAAATACCGTCTTTTAGCAAATACACTCTATTTTTTTTTTTTTTTTTTTTGAGACAGAGTCTCGCTCTGTCGCCCAAGCTGGAGTGCAGTGGCGCGATCCTGGCTCACTGCAAGCTCCGCCTCCTGGGTTCACGCCATTCTCCTGCCTCAGCCTCCCGAGTAGCTGGAACTACAGGCGCCCGCCACCGCGCCCGGCTCATTTTTTGTATTTTTAGTAGAGACGGGGTTTCACCATGGTCTCGATCTCCTGACCTTGTGATCCGCCCGCCTCGGCCTCCCAAAGTGCTGGGATTACAGGCGTGAGCCACCGCGCCCGGCCGCAAGTACACTCTATTATTTAGATTTTAGATTTTTTTTTTTTTTTTAAATAGAGACAGGATCTGGTTATGTTGCCCAGACTGACCTCCAACTCATGGGCTTAAGCATTCCTCCCACCTTTGCCTCTCCAAATGTTGGGATTATAGGCGTGAGCCACCACACCTGGCCTCAGTTTTTGAATAGGCCAAAATAATCGGGAGGCTTAGGGATTCAAGACATTTGGCATACATGCATTTTCTGTTTCTCTCCCCTCTCAACATCGGAATAATGACAGGTTAAAGTGAAAACTCTTTGCTCCTGTAAAGTGCTTATTCAGAATATAGTTTGAGGTGAGTTGCCAAATAAGTGATATTTGGGTTGATTTAAATATGTGCATTCTAAGTTATATAGCATTCAAGACATTCATTAAAACAAAGCAAAATAAAAACCAACAAGAGAACAATGTGATGGCATGTGGTATATTAGCTATAGGAGTGTTTAGAAAAAACTGTTTATTGCTTATTATTAATAGTTCATATCTCATAGAATATTACTGCAGAACTGAAGATTAAGAAATGTTACTGAGGACACCAGATCCAAACATCTGTGTGTTGGAAAATTATCTCCAATGCATAGCTATTTCCTTGGCATATTTAGATGGCCATCTTTCTTTGATGTCTTTTTTTAAACCTACATTTCATTTTTTGGGAGCCTCAGTGTGATGGAATTTTTTTTTTTTTTTAGATGGAGTTTCTTTGTTGCCCAGGCTGGTGTGCAGTGGTGGGATCTCGGCTCACTGCAACCTCACCTCCCGGGTGCAAGCGATTCTCCTGCCTCAGCCTCCCGAGTAGCTAGGATTACAGGTGTGTGCTACCATACGCATCTAATTTTTGTATTTTTAGTAGAGACGGGGGTTTCACCGTGTTGGCCAGGCTGGTCTTGAACTCCTGACCTCAAGTGATCCACCCACCTTGGCCTCCCAAAGTGCTGGGATTACAGGTGTGAGCCGCCACGCCCAGCCGATGGAAAGTTTTTATCTAAGATGAAAGAGCAATTAAACTAAATAGAACTTAATTGCTGCCTTATTGCTATTATTAGTAGTACTACTGCTATTACTTGGTATGTACTACTATTTGTAGTAATAGAGTGGTCACAGTAGACCTTAAATTTATAGAGGATGTTACCGTTTACAAAATATTTTCACGTGCATTTTATAATTCTTCACAGACACTTTGTGAGAAAGTAAGGCTGCCTTGCTTTCAGAGCAAGCTAACTATAGATAGAATTGATGATCATTAGTCTTCCAGAAGAAGGCCATGGACTACCATTAAGTAAACTTAATGTCAGTTTATGTGATAAGAAAAAGTGGAACCTTTTTTCTAATGATCCATTTCAGGTCCTA